TTCAGCAGAGGACCAGTGTGTGGCTCATGTTCCCTGGCAGAGTGGTAATGGTCTGAGAGACTTAAACCAGTGGAAAGGAGACGTTGGAAGGGAGAGGGCTGGAGCCACCTGGGCGGTGCTGGTTATGCGAACTGTCCAGGGAGTATTCTGAAAATTGTTGTACTGTGATGGCTTTGGTTTTGGTGAAGGCTGTAATGTGACAGTTTGAGTGGCGTAGTTTAATGCATTGGCGTCTTTTGCTCAGGAGGACTCCTGGGATCATTTCCTTCTCGTTGTTTCAGCCCAAATCAGTTGTGAAGGTCTCAGTTTTCTTTCTGACACATTTTTATTTGCTTGTATTCCATCGAGTAGCTTGCAGTTAGTTACATCAGTATTGCAACTAACCTGATTTAAAATAAGTCCTTTAAAATTTAAAATAAAGGCAATCGTGATCTTTGTATCTTTATATATATGTAATCTTAAACATGCACAGCTTGTTTAGTTTTTATAATTTTTATCAAGGCTTTGGTATTTTTTCCAGGTATATGTCACAAGGGAAACACTCAGAAGCAAGAGAACTAATGTATTCAGGGGCTTTGCTGTTCTTCAGTCACAACCAGGTAAGTCACCAGGTTTTGTGTGTGATTTTGGGGGGGGGGGGTTATTCCAAGATTTTGAGGAGTGAATGGTGAATTCTCAATGGTAAATGTTTGGGGTAATTGCTTTGTAATCTTTTGTTTTATCTCTTTGTTGGGCTTTTCTCCACAAAGAAGTATTATGCCAAACTGGAACATAAAGCAGAAGCATTTGTGAGCATCCAGACAGTAATCATAACCACATGTGTTTTGCTTTTCTGGAGGCTTCTCTTTTGATGTCATCAAATTGCTATAATTTTTTTATAAGGGAAGGTTGAGACTTGATACTGTGCCTTAGCTGTAGATGTTGATAAAAGTATTCAGTCTGCCTCTGCAAAATTCTGGTTGATGTTTTATTTACTGATATGTTTGTCACTACCAGTATGTGTCTGTTTTGTAGCAAAACAGTGCTGCTGATCTGTCCATGCTGGTTTTGGAGTCTTTGGAGAAATCGGATGCAAAAGTAGCAGATGACCTTTTAGGTGAGGTGACTTTTGCGCTCAGTTTGACAGTAGTTGGATGTGCTTTCACTTCACAGAGACTGTTGTTAACAGTCTGAAAACCTGAAATCCTTTTTGTATGGCCTCCCACAAGGCTAAGGGTTCTTCACAGAAATGAGCTGGGGGAAAACTTTATTGGAGAATAATGGTTTCCTGATAACGATTAACAAGCTATGGATGGAGACAGACAGACAAAGGCTAGTCTGTGTTGACTTAGATCAGCTCTGACATTTTGTATCCCATGACTTCCGGTGCTGCACTACAGCTCTCTGTCCCTCACAGCTTCCTTTTGAATGCCAGGCAGTGCTGTAACCTGCAGCCTTTCCTCCTGCTTGGAACTGCATGGTGCTCTGGGATATCTTGTCCCAAACCATGAGACAGGGAAGCTGTCACCAGCTGACTGCAAGGCACAGTTTTGGCTGTGGAAGAGTCATATGAATATTGCTGTCTGCTGGATGGAAGACTGACTTGATGGATGAGAAGTGGCTCAAGTTCAAAGTCACTCTTTTTTAAGGTGGCTTCTGGAGGGTGTTAAGGGACACAATAACACTGTAACATAAATGTTGTATCTTCAAGATGCACTAGAAGCAGCAGTTCACTCTGTTTCTGTTAATGCTAAATATTTGTGAATCTTATTGCTTCCAGAAAACTTGGCAAAATTGTTTAGTTTAATGGATCCAAATTCTCCTGAAAGAGTGGCTTTCGTATCCAGAGCACTAAAATGGTCCAGTGGGGGATCAGGAAAACTCGGACATCCAAAACTACACCAGTTACTAGCAATTACCCTGTGGAAAGGTAAGAAAAAGCCAACTGGCTTTTCTGTGTTTCATTTTGAAAATGTTGAAAGTATGATATTATAAGAAGAGATCTATTTTAGAAATAATCTAAGGAAGCTGAGATGGAAATGATTGATTGAGTTCTGCTGTTACCCAATTTTTGCAGTAACTTCAGTTTAATGTTACTAACAAAAAAAAATCTGGGGCTGTAACTCTCTGTTAGTGCAAAACCCAAACCACAGCTGCTGTAAAGCTCTCTGTAAAAGGAAGGGTGATCCTTTAGACATTGAGGTGGTTTGATTGAGTCATTAGGAGGAAAATTGCTGAGGAGCAAAGCTGTTCTGTTGTGGTTTTGTGTTTTTAAATCCAGGTGTGTATGATAGCCAGTTTTTAAAGTCTTATGCTTAAAACTTAATAACGGTGAGAGAGAACAGTTGAATAAATGCCATCGCTTCTGTGGTTTCTTGTGAAGTAGTAACTGTGCAAGATGGTAGTTTGTTTATTTTAGAATTTTCAGTAGCTGCAAAGTGACGATAGTGGTTTCACATAACAGTCCTGACCCAGTGGTCAGCATTCCAGCTCATGGCCTTTCTGCGTGTCGTAGGCAATCCCATAGCTGTTCTCATGGCACTTAACATGAGCTCGATGGCTGCTGCCAGCCAGAAAGGGAGGATTTTCCTCAGCATTTGAGTTAGAAGCCAAGATATGATTAGGATAAGAAACGGTTGCATTCTGGAAGTTAAAATCCCCATTTTGTAGCCGTCTGCTCACTGCTCTTTTGAACAGCAAAATGTGTATGTTTTCTTAGTCTGTTTCATCAGAAAAGGCTCAGATTTTTAAAACAAAGCTTAAATTTTAAAAAAATAGCAGCTATCCAGTTTTGATTTGGCATTGCAGTGACTTTGCATGATGCTTTGCTTCAAGTTAAGTTCTAATAAATCATTGCCATTCCTTACACCTTTTTTTCTTGTATAATTGCTGTTCTATTCAGCATATGGGAGCAATTTTAATTTTGATAGCGAGAGTGGGCTAAGCTAAAAATAGGAAATTTCTGTGCACTTCGAAAGAAGGACGCCAAAGGTGCTGTTTGACTTCTTAGTGCACATGGTCTGATACGGAACTTCTTGATTCTTCTCCTAAGCACTGACAAAAAGATAAAGGACATATATATAGCAGCTCAAGCTCTTTGTCCCAGTGGTAGCTGTGTTTGTTGGTGGCATTGAATAAACTGTATAGAATAGCAGTTGTTCAAATGTGTTTAGGATAAATTTATTATCTCCCTTTATAAATTGTCTGTAACTTACGAAGGAAGAAGCCCACTCTGTTTTTTCTAGTTGTCTTGTTTATATAACGTGTGTAGCTCTTGTCCTTTTACCAGCTGTAGTATACAAGCCTAACAAATTTGTTTTTACTTTCAGGTGTGATGAACTGATTTCTTAAAAGCCCTTTTCTTTTTCCTTTTATAGAGCAAAACTATAGTGAATCTCGCTATCACTTCTTGCACTCCACAGATGGTGAAGGGTGTGCAAATATGCTAGTAGAATACTCTTCGTCCAGAGGATATCGCAGTGAGGTGGACATGTTTGTAGCACAGGCAGTACTACAGTAGGTGTTAAACTATTTTAAACTATTTTGCTGAGATGACACTGTGTTTGAGGGCAGTCTAACTTAATCATGATAACTAATAGGTTAACCATGCATCCGTTTCAAAAGAAACTGTGAAACTGGCCAGAGCTTCTGAAAAAAAAAATTTAGGTTGAAATCTGAAATCATGTTAATTGCCTGAAGAACTAGTGTAATCTGTTTGACCTTGAAAGCCCAATTCTTAGCTTTGTTAACACCACTTTATGTCTAGTTAGGGCTTACCTTGATGTTCTTAGCAAGACTGGACCTAAGTAGGCTCTACCTTTAGCATAGTGCTTGCTCTCAGTCTCGCTGTCCTAAGACGGTTTGTCTTGGGTCACCCTGGTCTGTGAGCAGCAGTGTGATGGTTCTTGGTCTGACTGAGTTGCTGGTGGCTTTCATGTACTTTAGGCATTTATTTTGTAGGACGTGGGAATGCAAGCTATGATGTGCCTTTGCAGAGCTCATGTCCAATTAAGGCTGACAAAGCCAATTTTACTGCATTTAATCAGCTGATGGTTTTCTTCAGTCAGGGAAAGCAGCTCATGGAGGAGTTTGAGGAGGAGGTGGAGACAGGACTGTGCAGCAGGGAGTGAGGGAGAGAGTAGGTGTTGGGGGAGAAGGAGGAGGTGAGAGCAAGTCTGTCTCTCTTGGCAGCAGTGAGCTGTCATGTCAGATTTGTCCTCCTTTCCATAGCTGGTTGATACAGATTGCAGTGATTTGAGCAGTAAAAAAATGCTTCATGGAAATTCAGGACTCTTAAACAATTTTATGAAGCTGTGCTCTGGAGGGGGGGAAATTCTGGGGAGAAGTTACGAGTAAGAGGTTATTTTTTTCAGTATTTATACAGCACTACTACTGCATCCTTTTCTGGCCTATATCTCTAATACTGTAACTAAATCCTCTTACATAGCAGTTTATACTCTAATGAAAATAATTACAGTTCCTTGCTCAGCAGTAAGGCACAAGAGCCCAATGCCCTTGCACATGTGAGGGTACAGAATTGGAGGTCAGCCTGCGATCACAAAGGAGACCGCTTGTGGCAGCCTTCCCAGTGCTTGCTGACAGCATTTGTCCCAGATTAAGTTTCTTATTAGGCCTATGGGACTTGCAAAGATTGCCAGTTAAATTAACCGGACCTGAACAAAGATCTGATCAGTTTGGGAAATTGATCTGTTAACTGGTGACAAATGGCTTGGGAGCTCAAGGTGTAGTGCTAATAGAATGACACGGTCATTGGGTGCTAGCAGATGCATACTGAAAGGAGATGTATTGGAAAGTGGATGGGGCTAGGAGAGATCTTTAATTTGGTTTTTAATTCAGCACAGTAAACTCTGGACCAGAAAATGCAATATCATGTCTAATTTGAATTACACGGTGACCTGTCTTTCCACATTTTCATTTAATTGATGCCCTCTTTTAGTAACTGTCCTGTGTAAATTCTGCTTATATCTTGGTTAAACTCATTCTATTAATATTTAATGTCAGTTCTCCCTCCCAACCTGCTTATCCCACAGTACATTCAAGTAGTGATTTTTCCCTTCCTCAGTTGATAGCCAAACCATTGCCAAAGTTGTACATCTCTACCAATTAGTTTTTGCCATCAGTTTACGTCTGGGATGGCTTTTATGCACAAACGAAGTTGAGATTGTTGAGCTTTTGGCTTCCGTTTTTTCTTTCTGCATCTAGAAAACTACTTCTCTGTCTTTTATTTTTAACTTGCCCTGTTCTGTTTCCTTTTGCAGATTTCTCTGCTTAAAAAATAAGACCAGCGCATTGGTTGTTTTTACAACATACACACAGAAACATCCCTCGATAGAAAAGGGTCCACCCTTTGTTCAACCGCTGCTAAACTTCATCTGGTTTCTGTTACTGGCAGTTGATGGGTACAGTCTGATTTTTCTCTTCTTGTTCTTGGTTTCCTTTCTAGTTGTTACTGAGATTACATTTTCGGTTCTTTCCTTTCTAGAGGAAAACTAACAGTATTTACAGTATTGTGTGAACAGTATCAACCTTCACTGAAACGAGATCCCATGTATAATGAGGTGAGTTACTTGTAAACAGGATTTAACATACAGAATTGGCTAAATAGCTGACTCTCTTGTGTTTTGTGACTTGTAGACACCAGTCAGTGATGTAGCTTGTGTGGTGTGACTGCAGCCCATAGCATTTCCACCTGAAAATGAAGTAGCTGACGTTGTTCTTCATCTTGTGTCGTTTCAGTACCTAGATAGAATAGGACAGCTTTTCTTTGGTGTTCCGCCCAAGCAGACATCGTCCTACGGAGGATTACTAGGTAAGGTTTATGCCAACTATTATTTATAGATACCACCAGTCTTTTCAGAGCAGTGGCTTATATAAAACAGCTGCACTAGAAACAGATAATTTGTTCTAATGAATATATCAGTTTTTTCATAGCCCGTAGAACAGAAGATGAATTGGTTGCATGTGAAATTAATTTGGTGAAGCACTTTTTTGAGAAGGGGAGAAGCATGTATATTACTCATATGGTTAATTTTTAACATTGTAGTATAACTTCCAAATATAAAGAAAAAAATCTTGTTTGCATTAAAGCTTAATTTCCTCAGACTTCAGTGGCTAATTTTCTTTAAGTCAAGTATGGGACTATGGTAGAGATCTAACCAGTGCTGATATGAGTGTTCCCAAAGCAGAAATTCTGAAATTAATACTGTCCTCCTACAAGAAATGAAAGGGATTAGAGAAATTCAGCCCTCATTTCCTGGCTCTTGAATAAAATGTGAGCAAATTGAACTGGATTACTTTTGTAATATCAAATGTTTTTTTCTTGAGAATTAAGCTTCTCTGTTTGTGAGCTGACTTGAAGCATTACCTGCAAATGTCAATTCACTGATACCCAAAGTTTGATGAAAAACATGAGCATCATATATGTAAATATGTAAATTAACAGCTTTTCAGCAATTCAAGCATCTTTAAATTGAATAAAACAGGGAGAATGCATAAATGCCTCGAACAAGCTCTTTCTAGCATGATGCAGACCGTTGCTGGGTGTTTCTTTCCTCTCATGCTGTAACTATAGTACATAAGTAGGCGACTTCAGTGAGTTTTTTTTCCAGTGTACTCTTAGAGAAGGAACAGTATCAAAATATAGCTTCCCAAATCAATCAATTCTTAATGAAAACCAGCGTGGGAATACTAATGTCCTGCTGAGACTCTGTTTTGCTTTAAAGTTTTTTTTCATTATTGAAGTCTGCACTCTAGCAGGATGGTAGGAGAGTAAAGTTTTTGAGATGAGAATGTCAAACTAGCAATTTTGACTGTCCTGTATTTTATTCTAGGAAATCTTTTAAACAGCCTGATGGGAACTGGAGAAGATGATGACACAGAAGAGGGTCAGGAAGACAGCAGTCCTATCGAGCTCGACTGAATGTTGTTGTCACTGGGTGCCGTGTAAATCTGATGATTCGATAACTCCAAAGACAGTTTTGGAATTTGAATCCTGCAGTTGTCTCTTGGCGCCTAAAAGGGCTCCTCTGATCTTTTAGAAATGGTTGCTGAAATGTTTATAATGTTCGGTCTATATTATTTATGTAAAAAACAAAAAAGAAAGAAACCAACAAAAAGTAGCCAAATGAACCAATCGGAGCAATTGTTAGCAGGTTTCCGATACAGCGGCTGGTGACTTTTATTAAAATATAGTCTTCTACGGTTTCTGATGCAGTATTCCCTTTTGCACAGTAATTCAATAAAGCATAAACTTGGGTCTTGTCCTTCACGGTCTACCCAATACCATCTTTGTTACGAGAACGCCTCCTTGACCTCTGCCACGACCAAGGAAGATCTTAAAAGGCAGGGTGATCAATTGAATAATTTATTTGCGAGGCTGGTGCCAAAAGTACTGCGAGACGAGCCAAGCAGCATAATTTGAGATGCACATCCAAGAGACATTGATACCGAGAACTCGCTTCCACTGCCATGAGTAACATGCACACCATCCATTCTGCCTCTCACTCTCCTTAAGGTCTGGCTCGTGTGCGTGTTTAGCCGCTGCTTCCTGAAAAGCACAAGATTGAATTGCTCTTGAGTAAAAGCCAATCAGTGGGACGCAGGTAATTGGCTTCCATGTGGATCTCTCTTGCCTAGGTATAAAGATTTGGCTCATGGCTTTACTCCTTTGGAGCAGTCTTTCAATGTGAGTTCACAACCATACGTAAAGGCGACAAAGTTTTAGTGAATGAAATTGTCTGCCACGAGCAACGTATGTGTTTGAACTGCAGTGGTAGGTAAAGAAAAGGGATACTGCAGAACTTTTGGTTCTTTATGATATATTTATTTTTCTTGGGTGATTGATTCATTTAACACTTTCTGTAAAAAAAAAAATAATGAAAAATAAATCAGTAAATAATGGAGTAACTTCAACCCCAGTGGTAGGCATAGCCAATCTACATCTCCTCTAATGCAGCACAGCAGATGTCAGTGGTACAGTGAACGGATGAAATGGCGGGGAAATGCTTTATTTTTTCATGATGAAGATAAAAAGGCTTAGATTAATAAACAGCAATCATGCATGGGCGAGGGAGGGATTAATACAAGTTTATTGACTGTATGAGAAAGAAAAGGCATTGAAAGGAAGACTTTGTGTTAATTGTGAAGTCTCAAATAAACACTTTATACCAGGATGTGCGATATTGCTGCGTTCTGAGAGATGTCAAGCAGAAATACTGCCTTCCTTGCTACTTTTTTTTATTATTAACCTTCTCTGCATCAGACCATGGCAGCTTTATCTCAGTGCAGTAAAGGCATCATTTTAGTTGGGTACTGTAACATCTGGGACAGGTACGGTATTGTGATTGCAGCAGGTTCAGGGAAGAAGCAGCGCATTAAGGAATAAGGCCATGGATGTTTAATAAACACTCTGGGACACCGGCAGCAGGTAAGAGCCACGTCACTTCATTGCCTCTGGCTGCCTTTTCTTACCTGGGCGCAGCCTAGGGTGCCTGGCAGCAGCAGCCCCTCCTGTGTCCCGCACAGACAGTGAAAAGTGAGTTTAGGGGTGTGTGGGTGGGGGGGTGTGTGTGTGTACCTCTGCTGCCTCCAGCAGCCCCTGCTTTGTGCCCTGTGTGCGCCCAACACCAGCCCTGCCGGGAGGGTGGCACCCCAGGTGTGTACCTGTGTACACATATACAAAATACAGATTCAATGATTGCAACAGTATATAGCATATATATATGTGTATAAAATACACACATATGCAATATATTTAGTTTATATATTTATA